GTGGTTTGTGTATTAGACCCGTCGTCCATTTATTTGTAAGTCAATGATAATAATGGTTATTTTCAATTCGTTCGAAACAGCTCTTATTTAATAGCTGTTTGTTGTACCATCTAGGGAATATGTCGTACATGAAAAATCAAACAACACAAAATTTTGGGATTGAGAAAACATAATTTGAAAATTTAAAAAAATACAGAATGGATCTTATTGCCAATTGATATAGATTATTTTATCGTTAATTATCCATTTATAACAGTCCGCATTGACACCTTCGAGATGTGGTGCTGGAGGGAAGTGTTGCGAGTCTTCTGGACTGATTTTCGCTACAACGACTCAATTCTGCGGGAGCTTAACATCCAGAGCAGAAGATCTTAAGATCAGATCATAAAGTGGTTAAATCTCCATAGGATACTTGATTTCAGGAAAGAAAGTTACAACCACGAACAGTAATGGTTACCGGACGGATTGACGGTATACATCCGAGGAGTTGCTGTCCCACAAGATGGTCTGACCAAGTTTGTACTGCTCTCTCCATGATGCGCTCCACTAGGCCAAAGACCGCCATAGATGTCACAACGTCGTCGTGCGGAGACTGTTTCCGCGGGGGGAGTCACGACCTTCAATGAGGTATGGGACGCTATGAGGAGATCCATTTATAAATGAGAATGTAAATGTCTTTTTTTTATTAGGATTTTTGGTTTGGTAAAAGTCCTTTGAGCCAGATCTTCCTAGTTTTCGGGATCCTCAATGATAAAAAGAACTTTGACAAAAAAATTCATGTTTTCACTTTCACTTAAATCACATAGTTCACTTTCTATTATAAGACGTTGAATTTTTTTGTTGGTTTCGTTCAGTTATTTTTTCAAATTTTCAAATCGTGTTTTCTCAATTCCAAAATTTTGAGTTACGACAATATTTGGGTTCGTGTGCGATGTCAATATATTGCTTTAACTTACTAGGCACTCCCGATACTAATCTAAGCGGCCGAAGCACTCTGAACGCTCGTAACGCTTTGACGTCAAAAGAATCGTTCACCACAAACTGCAAGCCTTGACTTACAATACTGAAAAAGAAAGACTAGGTATTAAAGTGAGATATTTGAACGCAATCTGCGCGCTTAAAATTAATATAAACGAAATAAAAACATGCGGAGACAATTTGGCACAGATCCGACGTTGACAAGCGCCCGATTGAAAACCGAGTTTAAAACCAAAATTTAACAGGTTCTCTAAATATTTAATGAGAAATATCTGCACATAAATGTACAAAGTTAGGTGTTCTATTCTCAAATAATACGTTTTAGATTATTTTTGCCTATTTTTAGGATTTTATATGATTGGATAAAGTAGATCCTATCGTGTAACATATTAACACATTCTTTAGACAATATCCTTAAGTGTATCGTATATTTTTTTTGTAAGACCTTTATTTAATAGCAAATGCCTAAGTTGTTTGATCTAGTGAAACAATTTTTCCCGCTTCTCTTCCGGTAACTAAGCTCAAATCACAAAGTTTTTTTTTTAATATATAATAGACACACGCCACAATCTCACCTGATGTTAAGCGACGATGGGACGCGTTTGAATAGCACCAAATTGTACTTTTCGGGAAATACAGAGCATTCCATTCCTTTGCCGTACGCATCAGAAAGGAGGAAGCAAAGCGCTTAGTGCGAATAGGTGGAATATCAACGACATAAGAATGGAGTGCTCCGGACCTTCTAGTCGACCGAAGGAGGAACAAGAGGGTGGAACTAAATTGAAAAGTTCAAGCAGGCTACTTTTCTGAAATGGTCGAGATTTTGTAGCTGCGACTCTACAAGAGAATTGTTGTTGTTGGCAGCTAACTGGTAATGGGCAGAGCCATCCCAAAGGCGGCAGTAGTTCTCCATACACAATCGAATTTGTGCTTTATACAGTTTTAATAATGGAACACTGGTACTTCGCTAGTCACATTGAAACATAAAATTATCAAGTCCCATATGCCTGAAGTTTTACTAGCACCCCTTACCCTTTAAAATCGGATTGACGTAATGCTGACATTATGCATGGCGGTAGAAACAGGTATGATGGAAGTAGTTCCCTGGATGGACTGCTTCACAATGATGTCCATATGTCAGTCGGAAAAATTACCAAGTATAACTTACCCAATAGTGACTATAGTAAAATCGAGACTGTTCCAAGTATTCCTAAGATAGGCACCAGGGTGTAAGAGAAAGCCGTAGGCTATGATCTTCATCACGCATTCCGCTGTGAAAATTGCCATGAATATCCATTCTATTTTTTCCTGAAAACAAATTTAAAATTCTTTAGACGTATATTTATCGTAACGTTCTTTTTAATCACATTTTAGATTTTTTTTATTGTTGTCTGCAATTATGAGAAAGTCCGCTATTTAGAAATCATGCCAATTTTATCAATGCCATCTACCGACAAACTTAGGAACTTCATTCTTACAAGTTATTGCATTACAGAACTGAATACTTACTAATATTTGATTTGTGTAATTGGTATCACTGGACGGATATGGCGTGAAGACTGCGAGCGCGATGCAGTTGGCAAAAATTGTCGTCAATATCATGTATTCGAAGGGTCTGGTTGTGTGTTAAGGAAATTGATGAGAAAACCAATCTTCTTACGACGGCATACACTATATTGCTTGCCATACTGGTGACAGGATTTGCCAAGCGGAATAAGGTACTAGCCGATTGTTGCCCAGGGTGTGCCAGATGTACAGGTACGCCATGTGTGGAGGCTCCTGTCGTGTACCACGAAGGTTCCTTTCATGCACCCCGTGAAGAAGAAGAAGAGATAGAAGAAGAAGGAAACATTTAAGACGGTGGCGCCAGTGACCGATAAGCACCAGTGTTCGACATCTTTTTTAAATTAATTTCTAATAAGATTTAGGCCAATGATGACTTACAACACTGAGACGTAGGCCTCATAAGAACACCCAAGGCCACTAAAGGGCAATGGAAAGGGCTATGCTCGGAGTGTAACTGCGAGATCGAATCAGTAATGAACATATCCGCAAGGGAATCGACATAACCCAAAGAATATCAAAACTTAAGTGCCAGTGGGCAGGGCACATGACCTGATGAAGGTTACGGGTCCGCTTGATGCAAGCCCCCACTCGTAAAAAAAAATGGACACGTTCTTTGTGGCATTCTTTAGGCGAAGCCCATGTTGACCAAGAGACGGGACGAACAAGTCGTGAGCCTGATCGTAAGCGACACACCTATCCATAACAGTTGCAGTGTTTCTCTCGATGCAAGAATCGAAACCGGAACCCGTGGCAGAGCAGCATAGTAACCGTTATACATCTTCATATCCTTTTCCCGTCGAGGTAGACCTTTTTCCGGAGACAACAGCCTACCACTTTCTCCGATCCTGACATGCATCCTTTACCTCATCAACACGCGTCAATGATTTCTCATATATGTTCATCGATTATGGATGTTTTTTTTCGAATATCAAGTGACGTGACGAACAAGTCGTACGCCTGATGGTAAGTTTCACACCTATTCATAACAGTTGCAGTGCCATTCAGAGCTTTAAATCGCAAAGATCTGAGGGGCACTGCCACTGCGCCCGTCACACTGACACCTGAGCTGACAAATCCCATGTGCCTGTAATTTCACCAGCACCTTTACCCTTCAAAATCGGAACAAAGTAATGCTGACATTACTGCTTGGTGGCAGAAATAGGTAAGGTGACGGTACTTCCCTGGACGAACTCGTTCACAAGGAGCTCTACTGATACTAGAGGTACCCTTAACTTACTCTTATCTAGTTATTTCAAAAGGATACTTCCATTCAACAATATCGTAACATAGCACCCTTAACGGGTTTTTCAAACCTAAACAGAACAGACTCCTCTTAGGTCGCTCAGGCATCGGCTTGCCCCTTGGCCGGGCTTGCTTGCGCGGCACCAGCGCCTGCGCATCAGGGGCGCCATCTGCGCCTGGAGTCGCTGAGCCTGCAGGCTCGGACATTTTGACCTGCAAGTTAATTAAATATCGTAATTAGACTACTTTCACGTTATCGTTAAACTGTGAAAAAAAAAACAGAAACAACACGGGTAGCGTATGCTCGCGTCTGTCGGATTGTCATTCATTGTATAAGAGAATTCCTTTATTCGATTAAGAGGACACGTTGACTGACCAGGATCAAGGATCCAACTGGATTCGAACCAGCATTTGTTGCCAATTGGTCCCTAATTTTCTTCTTTTCTTCAATAGAATGGGCAGTGATGTCATTCATTCAGTCGCTAACGATCGACGTGGCCTTAATAAAATTACTCGTGGAAATTACTATGTATACCTTAATTTTTTATAGAGGAGGATGAAGGGCATAAGTTGGATAAAAAAGAAAACCAACAAGGAAGTATTGAGAATGGTAAACGAGAAAAGAACGATCCTGAATATATAGAGTGTAGACACACCCCGGACACTCCATACGACAGTCGAAAGTTAGTTACATACTACTACTACATACAGCAAGGCGCTATCTGCACACGCGCAAATGTGTGCGTGAAGTGGCAGGGTTGCCCATCACTTTCTCGTACTATTACGCGGTCAGAGCGGTAACATAGCGAAAATTGTAACGCGAATCTGTTATTTATAATTCTATTAATATAATCCTAATAATTACAAATGTTCATTAGGTATTTATATCAATTTAATATTATACTTTTCATTAATTCACTAACTAGAATAATATTGAAGATTTATTTAAATAATAATATATTAAAAGCACTTAAAATGTAATCTTTTGGACAGGTACTTTTAAATAAGGAGAAGTCTAGTAGCTCACGAACTCATGGCGTTTCAATACATTTATGTAACAAATCTGTATTTATATTACTCTGCACTAAATAAATGAAGAAAACAACAACGGAATGAGTCTCAGACAAGTTCTTTTTCACTTGGTTTCTTTTTCATTAAATTTAATGCCTTATGTTTCAGGGTGACAGGTGCGGTGGCAGTATTTCTCAGATCTTTGCAATATAAAGCTCTGAGTGGCACTGCAACATCCATGGACAGGCGAGTCGCTTGACACCAGGCGCACGACTTGTTCGTCCCATCACTTGATAAAAAAAGTATAATAGGGAGACACGAATACTGGCGTGGAACAAGTAATACTTAATGGTATCAGTGATGAAAGAATCTATTATTGTTATTCACATTCCATCTAATTCCATGCATTTTACGAGGAGGCTCGTAAACTCGAACGTGAGTTCGTAAAATTCAAACATAAACGAATTATTATTGGGCTGAGTGATTCGCGAATGATGTTGTAGAGATCTGGGATTAAATAGTAATTTTCCTTGTGCTGCCAAAGTAACAGATATTGTCTAGTAATTCTTCATTGAGAATATGTAACACTGTGAATTTGTTAAAAAACTAAAGTTGCGTGACCTGAAGAGAATGGGAGAAGATCATGCTGCAAAGAGGACTTATTTGCGACAACAGAGTGCACGCCGACAAGTTGGACGTCTTAGGTACCGCAGGAGAGATGAAGTCCAGAAAGATCTCAAGGACTTTGGTGCTGGTGGCTGGAAGGATCTCAGAATGCTCAGAACTGGGAGGCGTGGTAGAATCTGGTCAAGACCTACTTTTGGGTCACTGCGCCACCGAAGTAAGTGAATTTATTATAATTATTAATACAAAAGACTCGAACCAGGACCTCTTAGCAAACCATGCCAGACGCTATGTGAACTAATATCGGAGTAATCGCGTAACATGTGTGTACACAAAAAAAAACAGTCGAGTTGAGTACCTCCTTTTTTTTTAAAGTCGGTTAAAAGACATCCAAACATAACTTGATTTCTTCACATATTTAAATTTCATAAGTAGCAGCTACTAAAGTAACAGCCGGTCAACAACACTAGTTCCTAATGTGGGAGTAGAAAACCTGTTGTATATTATCCCAAAACAATGGTGATTTCAGTATTTTTACCGCGGGATGTGGGCAGGGTAGATACAAGTAAACAGACGCATTAAAAGTAAATAATATCTGCGCCATCTTACTTCCTTTGCGGAGTTTTCCTTGTAATAAATTGGATGTTATATTAAGTTATACTTTTGTTGACATATCTATGGGATGCTTAGTTTCAACCTAGCTTTTATTATAAACTCATAGTCAAACCCAAATAATCCTTATTTTGATAAGTATGCAAAAACACACCCCGTGTTAGTTGTTCCATCTCCACGTGAGCGAAGTCCTTGAGCAAAAGATGTAGCCGGTACACCCTGGGGCCAACACTAACAACCCTAGGCTTCAGTCTGAGAACAATCAGTGAGGGCGCGAAGCGATCAACACGGCCCGGCCATGTGATTCTGGGGGTGGACCATGGCACGTGGTGGGCAGTCTAAACTTACACCATCCTGCGTTAATGCCTACGTAGTTGAGCGCCGTACGCAGGGATAAAGGAATCCTGGGGGGTTGAGCCCGAGCGGCAAGCAATACGCCCCCTTTGGCCCTGATTTCCTGCTAAACGGTAGCCCTATGATTAGCCAACACAGGGAAATGGCATTGTGTCTCGTGAGAGGGCCACAGGCGAGGTGCGTGGGGGATGGACTCGGCCATGCTGACAGGGTGAGTATGTGCGGAACACCTGGCTGACTTTGATCAGGTCAGCCAGCTGCACATTTCAAGCTCCCGATGTCGCGCAGTGAGCTCCTAACTCCTGCGCCTATACTCTCCTGACAGTCCTGGTATCCCGAATGGGACATCCCGAATGGGACATCCTCAAAGGTGCGGGCTCCGTGGTGGGTCAGGAGTCAGGAGAGTGAATCTAAAAACATAATCTGGGGGGGGGAGGGGGGACTGACGACCCCTCCCACTGTTCATCAGACAGGAAGCGGCGTCAACAGCAGTGCGTCTAAACAGAGCCGGTCTTTGGAAGCACATGAGGACCCCACATACAGAAATCCTTTATAAGATTGTCAATGAGGAACCGCTACTGGAGGCGGTTGTGGATAGGATCCCAAAACAATAAATAAATAAATCTTTGACAAAAAATACAAGATACAATTATTTGAAGATCCCAACGAAGGACTGAACCCCAGAGAGGTCCGAGACTTCACTGATGGATCTAAAACAAACTCAGGAACAGGTACTGGGGTATTCTCAGAAGACCTCAATATCAGGATATCAGCACCGCTTGGTGACCACAACACAGTATTCCAGGCTGAATGCATGGGCACCAAGTTGGCGGCAGAAGCAATCATAGCGAGAAGAGTAGAGAACTACTCCTTTCGAATTCTCTCCGATAATACATACTGTCGGACTTCAAGCACTAAATAGCTATGACATAGACTCAGGGCTCATTTACGAACGCCAACAAGCACTCATGGAGGTATGTATATGTATAAAACCACGGAACTCTACAGTGGATTAAAGGACACAGCGGTTCACGTGTAATAGTATGTAATTTTCGTCCATTATATGCAAAAACGAGCGATTCGTTCTATGTACTGTTTAGGTTCCCGGGTTTCTCTTAAAAAAAGTTTAAGGAGACTGGTATCATGACTGTGACTGTCGCATCACTGTACATCGACTCAAGTGTTTTGTATGCCCGTAAAAATATACATAATTTCGTTAAGAAAAAAGATATCCATAATATTAACCTTAGAAGTAAGTCCAAACACGTGGTACCACGTTTTCGTTTAACTAATGTAAACGATTCTTTTATGGGGAACTGTATACGTTTTTACAATAAGATTCCGGAGCATATATTAAGTTTACCATTTCCTAAGTTTAAAACTTACATCAAAAGTGTTTTAATTGAAAATTCATATTACAAAATAGTAGACTACGTGTTTGATAAAGATATATGGTAAGACAACGTGATTCAAGATTGCACACAAGTATGATTCAAAATGTATTCTATAGCATTTAAGTTTATTTGAAAAGGGTATTCCCTAGAGTATCTTGCTTGTTCTTCTCAGGGAGGTCAGCGTAGTGAACGAGTGTCAAAAATGTCGTTTTCAAGTGTAAAAATTTTACCTATGGAATAACTAATTATTTGACTTTGTAGTTCTGCCCCAAAACTGTAATGGGCATTATTGCCTTCCGGTTTTAAAAGGCAAGGGTGCTAGTTAAATTACAGGCACATAGAACTTGTCAACTGATAGAGATTGTTATGGAGAGACGCTTACCACAAGGCGCACGACTTGTTCATCCCGTCATTTGGAATCATAAAAAAATGTATTTTAAACATAACCAAAATGACAAGAAAGAAAGCTTTATTTTGCATTTTCGAAACAATTTATTGTTGCGAGAGTTGTGACGAACGCTTTGTAGGAAAACCGAAGAGCAATACGAGTTTAATGAACCGCATTTTATTTCTGGCAAACTATAATATTTCGACATAAATGTTCCGTTAAAGTGATCCTAGTGGCAATAACCGTCTAATTTGAATAACATAAGACGATGTAAGCATCAAAAAGGCGTTTTTCATTCATTCGACGACTTGGGTAGCCCAACTGTTTGCTCTGTGGACGTTGGATGAGGAAGTCCTGGATTCAATGGCGTGGAATCCCTAAGTATAAAACCAGAAAGTTGAATGCATGAAAGCGTTTCCTATCAAATACTTTCCTTCTAGTATCTTTATACTTAATATCTTTGTTTATATTTGTCTGTATATACAAAATCTGTGGTATAAGATTTTTCTTTGAGAATTTGTTTTATAATCATTTATTTATTTGTGTTTTAAGTGTTAATATTTTTGATTGTTTTTAATTTTTTTCTGTTTTCCTTCTCTTATTCTTGTGTGGTGCAAAAATAGCTCGAAAGTGGTCAAGGCCATCTAACAGCAGCGTGTCGAACCAAACACTTTTTTTAAATGAGTCTGTCAGTTTCCCAAAAGTGTTACATTCCAAAAATAAACGATCACTATTTTTTGGAGTGTACAATTAAAATTTCTGACTAAATCACGAAGAATAAAACCAATATACATTTCAATGAAAGATAGAAGTGAATAAAATATCAGATAATAATGTTAAGCTTCACCGCGGCATTGCATTAGATCTCAGCAGGAAGTTGGCACACTATCAACATTGACAGAAGTAAGTTATAGTATTGAAGCTTGCTTCAGAATCATTTATGGGCATTTGTCCAAAGTCGCAATTTTCTGTGTCCATGCACTAAACTCCATTTATTTATCAAAACAAAAATCTATAAAAAATAGAATGTATAATATAGGTCGAAAGCTAACTGGAGAGCACAAAATATTCACAATAAACCTTTCGGACCTA